GGGGGGGGGGGGGGGGACAGCAGGGCTGCCCCACGGGCCCCCCAACCGGCCCCCCCGCTGCGTTCCCAGCTATCCCAGGATGCACCACCCACCCTCGCCACGCATGGGACCATCTCCTTGGGGTCTTCTGCCCACAGTCCCCCCACCTTTGACCCCCAGATCCTCACCCGGTGCAGGGCCGAGACCGTTTGGAAGGAAGAACCTTTCTTCTTGGAGCCTTTCCCCTTCTCCACGGCTGGATGAAGAAAGCGGGGACAGGTCAGGGAGGGTGGGTGGAGAAGCCCGGACGCCTGGGCTCTCCACCCCGCCCCAGCAACCGGGGCCGCCCCCTTACGTGCATCCGCCCCGGCGTAGTTGGCGAAGAGGTTGGCCAGGAGCTTGAGGGACGACTTCTGGTAGAGGCCCACCACCGTCTCGTTGAGGGGGTCCTTGTTCTTCTCCAGCCAGCCGAGGATGTTGTAGTCCACCGTGCCGGCGTAGTGGATGAGCGAGAAGTGGGCCTCCGGCTTGCCCTTCACGTTGCGTGGCTTCCCGAAGTTGGCCGACTTGCCCAGGTGGTTGTCAAAGAGCTTGGCCTTGAAGGTCATGTCCGTGGCCTTGGGGAACATGCACTCCTCCTCCAGGATGGACATGATCCCCATGGGCTGCGCAACGGAGGAGCTCGTTGGCCACGGAAGGGACCAGCACGTCCAATGGGCCACAGTGGGTCCCAGCGGGAAGGAGCCTTCTCCAGGAGACCACCCCAGGAGCTCCTGGGGCAGGCGGGACCTTCTCAATGAGGTCAATGCAGGCCTGCAGGTCCATGCCGAAGTCGATGAACTCCCACTCGATGCCCTCCTTCTTGTACTCCTCCTGCTCCAGCACGAACATGTGGGGGTTGAAGAACTGCTGCAGCTTCTCGTTGGTGAAGTTGATGCAGAGCTGCTCAAAGCTGTTGAACTGGGGGTGGACAGACAGGGCGGGGGTCAACATCACCCTCAGTGGCAGCAACGGCGTCAACTCAGCACCCAGCGGCGTCAACTCAGCACCCAGCGGCACCCAGTTGACGCCCAACGGGATCAACAGGGTCATCAACCCATCACCCAACGGGGTCAACTCAATGCCCAGCAGGGCCACGTGTGCCCCCAAGGTCAACACAGCTCTTAAGGAGGTCGACCCAGCAGCCAGGTGGACCAACCCAAGGACCAAGGCAGCACCCCTAGACTGGGCTGCCCCACAGGGACCCCCTGCCACCCCGCCCCGGGGCCTTCTTACGTCAAAGATCTCGAAGCCAGCGATGTCCAGCACACCGATGAAGTACTGCCGCGGCTGCTTGGTCTCCAGGGAGTTGTTGATCCTGGTCACCATCCAGTTGAACATCTTCTCGTAGACGGCCTTGGCCAGGGCCCCGATGGAGTAGTACACCTGGGAGGACCGGTGGGGTGGAGAAGGGGGTGAGGACGGGGAGCGGGAACCAGGGAGAGGAGAAGGAGCGGGCAACGATGCACCACCTTGCCTCACCTGCTGGACATTTTGCCCCTTGGTGACGTACTCGTTGCCCACCTTGACCCGGGGGTGGCACAGCCCCTTGAGGAGGTCGGCCGAGTTCAGCCCCATCAGGTAGGCCGACTTGTCCGCATCTGTGGTGGTGGTGGTGAAGGAGACACATGCTCAGGTCCCACCAACGTCCTGCCAGGTCCCCAACCCCATCCCCCCCACCCCAACCCCACCTTCGGTGCCGTCGGGCTCCGCCTGCTCCTCCCGTTGCTTCTGCTTGAACTTCATGTTGCCAAAGTGCATGATGGCGCCCGTCAGCTTGTAGACGCCGGCCTTCTCCTCCGAGGTGAAGCCCAGCACGTCGAAAGCGTTCTGCACCGCAGGTGGGGGGGTCGGGCCGGGCCCTGGCCTCCCCCACCGCCACGCTGAGGGCACGTCTGTCGGCTGGCCCCCACCCATCCGTCCATCCATCCATCCTGCTGCCCTTCCTATGCATCAGCCCATCCGTCCATCCATGGAGTTACCCATCCATCTACGGAGTCATCCATCCATCCATGGAGTCATCCATCCATCCATCCTTCCATCCAAGGACTCCTCCATCTGTACCTCCATCCAAGGACTCCTTCATCCATCCATCTGTCCATCCATCTATCCTACAACCCTTCCTATGCATCAGCCCATCCATCCATGGCATCACCCATCCATCCATGGAGTCACCCATCCATCCGTCCATCCACTTAAGGACTCATCCATCCATCCATCCATCTGTCCGTCCATCCATCCTGCTACCCTTCTTGTGCATCAGCCCATCATCCACCCATGGAGTTATCCATCTATCCATGGAGTCCCCTCTCCATCCATCCCTCTAAGGACTCCTCTATCCATCTGAGGACTTCTCCAGCTATATCTCCATGCAAGGACTCATCCATCCATCCATCCATCCATCCCTTCACTCAGCAGCTGACTTCTCTTCTGCCCCCCTCCTTCCTCCTGAAACCCGCGCTCCCGCCCCACCGCTTACGTCGGGGGCCATACGCACGTTCGAGCCGTTGATTCTCCCCTTGGGAGACGTAACTGTAGTCGTAGGGGTTGTTGGTGATGAGCAACGTCTCTGCTCCGCAGCACACGGTGGGAAGGAGGGAAAGAAAGTGTTTACGGTGGCCCAACGGGGTGGCCCGGTCTCGATTGCCACCAGCGCGAAAGAACGAGTGAATCAGTGAAGAAACCAAAGGAGGAGAAAGTGAGCAGAGAGATCGACACCGCGTGCCGTGCCGACCCTCAGCCCGACTCACCGAGCAGCTCCGGCTTCTTGTTGGAGAGGATCTGGTAGAAGATGTGGTAGTTCCTCTCAGCCTTGAGCTGGAAGATGACCCGGGACTTCTCCAGGAGGTCTGGGAGAGGGGGAGAAAGGTTTGAGGGAGGTGGAGGGCTGGATGGGTGGGAGGGCGGAGGGAGGGATGGGCAGATGGGTTGGTGGAGGGATGGATGAGTGGAGAGATGGATGGAATGGCTGGGTGGTGGGATGGTGGGATGAGGAGATGGTGGGAAGAGGAGACAGGCCAAGAGATGGATGTGCAGAGGGATGGATGGAGAGATGGACGAATGTGTGGATGGATGGACGGTGGGATGAGGAGATGGGTGGTGGGAAGAGGGGCTGGATGGAGGGATGGATGTGCAGAGGGATGGATGGATGGAGAGATGGGCGAATGTATGGATGGAGGAATGGATGGATGGTGGGAAGAGGGGCTGGATGGAGGGATGGATGTGCAGAGGGATGGATGGATGGAGAGATGGGCGAATGTATGGATGGAGGAATGGATGGATGGTGGGAAGAGGGGCTGGATGGAGGGATGGATGTGCAGAGGGATGGATGGATGGAGAGATGGGCGAATGTATGGATGGAGGAATGGATGGATGGTGGGAAGAGGGGCTGGATGGAGGGATGGATGTGCAGAGGGATGGATGGATGGAGAGATGGGCGAATGTATGGATGGAGGAATGGATGGATGGTGGGAAGAGGGGCTGGATGGAGGGATGGATGTGCAGAGGGATGGATGGATGGAGAGATGGGCGAATGTATGGATGGAGGAATGGATGGATGGTGGGAAGAGGGGCTGGATGGAGGGATGGATGTGCAGAGGGATGGATGGATGGAGAGATGGGCGAATGTATGGATGGAGGAATGGATGGATGGTGGGAAGAGGGGCTGGATGGAGGGATGGATGTGCAGAGGGATGGATGGATGGAGAGATGGGCGAATGTATGGATGGAGGAATGGATGGATGGTGGGAAGAGGGGCTGGATGGAGGGATGGATGTGCAGAGGGATGGATGGATGGAGAGATGGGCGAATGTATGGATGGAGGAATGGATGGATGGTGGGAAGAGGGGCTGGATGGAGGGATGGATGTGCAGAGGGATGGATGGATGGAGAGATGGGCGAATGTATGGATGGAGGAATGGATGGATGGTGGGAAGAGGGGCTGGATGGAGGGATGGATGTGCAGAGGGATGGATGGATGGAGAGATGGGCGAATGTATGGATGGAGGAATGGATGGATGGTGGGAAGAGGGGCTGGATGGAGGGATGGATGTGCAGAGGGATGGATGGATGGAGAGATGGGCGAATGTATGGATGGAGGAATGGATGGGGGGCGCGCAGGCTCGAGATTTGGGCTGCCGTGTTGGGTGTGAGGTTCTTGATTTGGGGGGGGTCAAGTTCTAGATCTGGAGCTCGCTTCTCCAGCCTTGGTCTTTTTTTCCCCTGGTTCTTGACCTGGGGTTCCGGATCTCAGCTTGGGGATTCAGGACCTTAGTTCATCGTCCCCCATCTGCCCCAGCCCAGGACCAGCTTCAAGGGCCTGTTTTAGGGGGCTGGTTCTAGATTTGGGGCCCTACCCGTGAGCATGGACTGGTAGGCGTTGTCGGAGATGGAGAAGATGTGGGGAGGAGCTTCGCTCCGCTTCTTGCCCCGGTAGGCGGCCACCACCTCGGCGTTGTAGACGGGCAGCCACTTGTAGGGGTTGACCGTCACGCAGAAGAGCCCCGAGTAGGTCTGCGCAGGGGGGCAGAGCGAGAACGGGTTGTCCCCCTCTCGAGGGACCGACAAGGAGGTGCCCTGTTCTAGGTGCCCCAAGAGCTCCAGGGAAGGTCATCTAGGTGCCCCAAGGGCTCTGGGGGAAGGTCACCTAGTCCTAGGTGCCCCAAGGGCTCCGGGGAAGGATCAGCTGGTTCTAGGTGCCCCAAGGGCCAATGAGGAAGGGTCACCCAGTTCTAGGTGCCCCAAGAACTCCAGGGAATGGAGGATCAGTTCTAGGCACCCCAAGGTCTCCAGGGAAGGGATGTCTGGTTCTAGGTGCCCCAAGGACTGCAGGGAAGGATCATTCTAGGCACCCCAAGGTCTCCAGGGAAGGGATGTCTCAGCTGGTTCTAGGTGCCCCAAGGACTGCAGGAAAGAGACACCCACTTTCAGGTGCCCCAAGGTCTCCAGGGAAGGGAGGGCTGGTTCTAGACGCCCCAAGGTCTCCAGGGAAGGGATGTCTGGTTCTAGGTGCCCCAAGGTCTCCAGGGAAGGAATGGCCGGTTCTAGGTGCCCCGGGGGGCTCCGGACTCACGTAGATCATCCAGGCGGCCCTGTTCTAGGTGCCCCAAGAGCTCCAGGGAAGGTCATCTAGGTGCCCCAAGGTCTCCAGGGAAGGTCATCTAGTCCTAGGTGCCCCAAGGGCTCCGGGGAAGGATCAGCTGGTTCTAGGCACCCCAAGGGCTCGAGAAAAGGGATACCCCTTTCTAGGCGCCCCCCCCCACCAAGAGCTCCGGACTCACGTAGATCATCCAAGAAGCGTAGCGGTCCTTGAGGTTGTAGAGGACGGCGGGCTCGTGGAGGAAGGTGAGCATGGCCATGTCCTCGATCTTGTCGAACTTGGGCGGGTTCTGCTGCATGATCTGGTCCTCCTTGACCGTCACGGTCTGCGCGAGGGAGGAAGGAAGGGTCCAAGGGGTGGGGGTGAGGAAGGGCTCCGGACACCCCTCCCCCATAGAGCTGGGGTGAGGAAGGGGGGCACCCTTGGGTCATGGAGAAGGAATGAGGGGCTCAAGGTGTCTCTCAGGTGCTTTGGGGTCAGACCAGGGGTCTTAAGTGTCTCTTTGGTGCTGGGGAGGACAAACCAGGCTCTAGGTGCCCTTTGAGCACTGAGCGGGGGGCAAAATGGCATCTGGGCGTCCCCTGGGTGCCGGGGTGGGGCCGAACTAGGATTTAGGGTGCTGAGTAGGGAGATCAAGGTCTCAGTGTCCCTTGGGTGCAGCTAGGGGGAGCATACCGGGGTCTAGCTGTCTCCTGGGGGGACAAAAATCGAGGTCTAGACGTTCCTTGGGCCTTTAGGGAAAAGCTGAATCAGGGACTGAGTATCCCTTGGGTGCTGGACGGGGCCAAATCAGGGTCTAGGTGTCACTGGGGTGTTTGGGGAGGGTGGTGCTGAAGTAGGACCTAAACGTTCTTTGGGAACTGCAGATGATAACACAGGATCTAGGTGTTTCTTGGGTTGTGAACACATCAAAGCATGTTCTAGGTGTCCCTTGGGCACTAAAGGAGCAGAGCGAGGTTCTAGGTGTCCCTTGGGGGGCAGATGGACCAACCCAGGATCTAAAGATCCCTTGCGCGCTAAGAAGACTTAAGAAGGACTTAGGTGCCCCTTAGGCAGTCGGGGAGCGGAGCAGGGTTCTAGGTGTCCCTTGGGCAGTGGGTGGGCCAAACCCGGTTCTAGGTGTCCCTCGGGCGCCGGGTTTTTTTTCGCGCTCGGGCTCGGCAGTGATCTTGGCGCCGTCGCGGGAGATGATGGTGGCCTTGACGAACTCCTCCTTGTCGTCGGGGACGAAGATGTCCTTCTTGAGGTCGAAGGGCCGCGTCTGGGCCTCCACCCGCTCCTTCTCCGACTTGCGGAGGTACGGGGCGGCCTCGCCGAACTCGGCCATCCCCGCG